ATGGCGGCGCCCAGCAACCAGCGGCCCGGTAAGGCTTGTTCCGCGGCCCGGTACCGGTCCGCGGACCGGCGGTTGGGGACCCCTGATCTAGATGACTAAAATTAACTGGGTGGTTGTTTAAAAGTTTTTAAAATGGTATCACTCTTAGAAGAACTGAAAATGGAATTTTAAAAATGGAAAGATGCACAAGAAGGGAGAGGGTTCTTTTGGCTTCGTGTTTCAATTCTTAGAAATGGAGATCTGGAACTATGAGAAGCAACAAGAATTGCTTGCAGAACAAGAAGATTGGGACAAAGAAGAAGCCATCTTTAATGATCAAATAATTTTAAGTGGGGGGGGAAAGGGGGAGGGAAGAGAGTGAAAGGTTTAAGACTAGAAAAAACAACCAAAAAGAAGAACAATTTGAAAGATAAGTATAATATTAGAAAGCAACAGAAGAGGGGATTACAGATGAGAGAGTTAGAAGTAGAGAGACGAGGGGGTAAAAAGGGGAGGGAGAAGAAGAGGGAGAAGAAGGCAAGAAAAAGAAGTTGTAAAAAACAGAAACAAGAAATGGAGAAACAGAGAAAAGATATAAGGATTGTAACCATAAGCTTGTTTAGAGATAATGGGTGAAAATTTAATTGCAAAAGGGATTCTGCAAAGGTACATAAGATAGCATTGTTATATTACAAATAGAAATAATTTTAGAAAATATGATGGATAAAATATTTACTGTAATGTAGTGGGATGTTTGTTAATAAATAAATGAATTAAAATGATTGAGAGAATTAAAAGGGAACATTTTTAATTATTAGTAATGATTTATAAAAATATAAGTGAGAAATATGAGTGCCGAAGGATCTTAACAGGGATCCTCTTCTGAAAAATAGTTTTGGGGTGTTGGAGTTGTCAAAACTGAGTAGTACTCTAGTGCAGTATTCAGGAGAGGGTAAAAGTTCAACCTTCTTCAAATCATCAGCTTTTAGCCCCAATAACTGTAATATATGGCCCCCCGCCAGCTGTGTTGAACCCCAGCGAGGTAAGTTGTCATTAATGGGATTAATGATGAGTGCCACCTGTTTTGACTGTAAGACCAGGTGACTGTTTGCGTCAAAAGATGTAAAGTTTGAACTATTGGTAGGATTACATTGGCCAGTGCTTTTGCTGAGGCTTGGCAAGGAGAACCCTGCCGCCGCATCAGGCTGCCGAGCAGTCAACCCAGGGCTTCCACTGGTAGTCCAGGAAACTAAGTAGTTTAAAGTACTTATTATTTTATCAAGCTGGAGCTGAATGCTCGCTGTAGTTTCTGCAACCAAGAAACAATGCTGTGCCAAAAGTAAGTGTGGGCTCATTTAAGGATTGGTTGGGGCCGTAGTTTTAGATAAGCCTTTGTTCTCAACTCAGGGGCGACACCCTCAACCATCAGAAGATCGCGACAACCGGCAGCAGCCAGGCAAAAGGGAGCAGGAGCTTTCAAACCGAGAGGCCGAGCTAAAACAAAGTCCTCAATCTTGGATTGCTTCAGAGAAGGTTGAGGAACCAGGTCAGTGAAAGATCTGCTCCTTTTCCTTGTCTTCATTATATTAAGTAGCACAATAGAGTGGGAGCTGTGTAATATAGGATAGAGTCTAGTCACTGAAACAAGTCCTAAATCCAGAGGAAAAGGAATCGGGGGTCGAGAAGAAACGAGTCCTAATGCAAACAATGGCAGAGCTCCTCACAAGTATACCAAGGATCCTGCCCTCCTGACAGAGCAGGGAAAATGAGTAAATAAAAATGATAAAATAATAAAAATAGTGGATAAAAATAGAATAAATCAGATAAGAGAAATCACATCAAAGCTAGGCATTGCTAGACTTCCAGCTAAAGGAATAAGATCTTTAGAACAACAACAAAGAAGCAGCAGCAAGGCCCTCCTATAGCTGAGGCCCAGCTCGGGCTTTTTTTAAAAAATACAGCTAAACCATAGCTGAAATATAACTAAAAGTGGATTAGTGATCACACTGCAAAAATTTCAAAAATGTAAAGGGTTTAAAAATAAAAATAAAAATTTGAAGACTAAGATATGATAGAAAAATAGCCTTAAAAGCAGGTAATAATTAGAATAGGTTAATTTGATCTTAGTTAAGCAGAGAGCCTAGTTGCCTGCTGCTCCCCAGGAGATATAGAATATATTCCAAAAGGGTTAAATATCACTTATTCAGATTAAATCCTATTTCAAAATAACCACTTAATCTTATTTTCTTATTACTTAAATATATACCATAAATAAATATAAGGTGAAGCTATACCACTCCAATCAGTTCTAAGAGGGAAAAGACAGAGAAAAAAAAAGGAAAACAGAGAAAAAAGAAAAAAGAAAAGCACTGGACGGGAAGAGGATTTACAGCCTCCTACTTTCTTGTTGTTGCCTTGGTATTCCAGCTATGTCCAATAGTAAATTAAAGTCTCAGTTCTCAGTTCTAACAGTCACTTCAGCTGCTTTCCTCCCGGAATCACCAGTCTCAATGGCTTCCACCACAAATTGCACTGTCACTCTTCTGTTCAATTTCAAGGTTTCAAAGTTCTTGTCCATCTGTAAAGTACTCTCCATGATTTGTTCGTTTAGCTAAAAATTAAAAGTTTCCACCGAGGATAATTGCTCTTCTCTCCTTTTCACTTTCCTATTTCATGGTAAGTTTCAGCTTATCCAACGCTGGGGGTAAACAATTCAGTTCTGCCACCAGTTTCTGCTTTCCCCCTTCCACATCGGAGCTTCAAACGCACACTCAAGTCTCAACATCTTTTTGTTGCTTAGTGACCTAAACTGGTTGTAGTATTCTAGGTGTGGTCTTACTAGGATTTTGTAAAACAGCACTAAAACTTAATGTGATCTTGAATCTATGCCTCTGTTTAAATAACCAAGGATTGTATTAGCTTTTTTGGTGGCAGTTGCACATTGCTGGCTCATATCTCATATATGATACAAAACATAAAGTCTATGTCACAGTTGCTATCCAAACCTCTAATCATAACTCCACTTGCCAGATTTGTTATGCAACTGGTTTTTCATTGTCCTGTTTTTCTTCATCAGATTCTTCATCAGATCCTATAAAAACAAAATATTTAATACAATGCAGCCATTAAACTTTACTAAATAATAGTACATATATATTCATATGCATAAGAATAGTTTGGGGTTTTTGTGTGTAAGGGGTTTTTGTGTCTTTAGTTCACTTCCTGGACTAACCCCTGCAATTTTATTGACAAGATTTCAGACATGGCTTATCATTGCTTGGGCTGAGAGAGAGTGATTAGCCCAAGGTCAACTAGCTGGCTTATTCCTATGGTAGAAATAAAATTCATTGACTCCCAGTTTGTAGCCTAGTGCTTTAACTACTACATCAAACTGGTTCTCTATTAAGAGAAACTAAAATAATCTACTGTTAATTAATTTAATCAGAAACATTTTGTAACTGTTTCTATAATTGTCATGCTCTTCATTAGGATTAATCTAAGTTGCCAAATACATACAGACACCTTTCAATCATAATGCCATTGCATTATAACAAAAAGATACCAAACATGCAGAAGTGACTCTATCATTTGACACATGGATAATTTGTTCAATCTAAGAGAGAAACCTATCTATATGTATATACAGCCTGGAATAATCTTAGTAGCAAGAAAAATGTATGGTTCAGTATTAGGTAGATATCCTGATTCTGGTTTCTGGTTTAAAATTAAAACTTCTCATATACAATATATAATCAAATATAGCAAAAAAAATTAAAGGCATAAAGTACTTTGCACACCACTTTAACTCAAACATAAGCATATTCTCCCAGGTATCTGGTATTCCACTTACAGTATTTTTTCCATTAGCAACTGCCCTATGGGAGGTATATCTACTGGTGGATATTGTTAAATGTATTTCTAACCCTCACCTAACCCCCTAAACTTTCTTAGAAGAATCTGTTTCCTGAAATTTGAGCCACAATATATGTAAGTACTAAACATGGAATGCTCAACATTTTTCATCAAGATCACTAGATGGCAATAAAAGGGAAATCATTTTACTTCTTGAGTCTTACTATTTCCCCAACATTCTTTATAATAAAACCAACCCAAAATTCATTGATGTTCTATTGCCTGGTATTCACCAAGTAGTTCAAAACCATGTAATGCTTCTGTGTCAGTAACACATTTAGCATACATACCCCAGCAAAAAGCAAACATCAACATAGTTTAGTTATTGCTCTATAAATTTTAAACACTAAAAATCTCAGAATCTTGAAATTAAATACACATATTTTTATATAATTTTTGTTCACAAAATAACTACTCACAAAGGTAATATTATTGTGTATATATAATCATTATAACATAAAATGTTACTCTTACAATATTGTTACATCCTAAATTTATTTTGTGCTATTTTTATTTTTTAACTATTGCAAGAGAAAAACAATACATTATCTATACAGAATTCATGAGAATAAGAAACATTTTAAATTGCATGAGGTATTAGAGTCTATATATTCAACAAAAATGTTTTGAGTAGATGAGGATTAGACGATGTTTTCATTTATCCAGCTTTTTGATGCCATCAATAAAAATGCTATACAAGTCAGACAATTACCATCCTACGTACTACAGTGCTCAAATAGATTCATTTGAGATACTAATACATAGAACATGAACACAGGGCTCATTATACATAGTTTACCTATTTTATATTTTGGTGTTTATTATTTCTATTGATAGTGGACTAGGTGTCTTTTTTAATTATTAGAATCACTGAAGCACCACTGAAGATGTAACACTAATACATGATGTCACCAGAGATGTTAAGGTATTATATATCTCCTATTAAGAGCAACTGCGTTCTCTTCGCTGATGATGTAAAGCTATTCAATATTACAGACAATACTGCTACCCTTCAAAAAGACCTCGACTATGTATCAGAATGGTCAAACAAATGGCAACTTCAAAATCTCAATAAATAAATGCTCTGTCTTACATACTGGCAAAAAAAATCAGAAATAAAATACAAGCTGAATAGTCAAGACCTTGTTGATGATCCAAACTCTGTCAAGGACCTTGGAGTACTCATCTCTAATGATCTAAGTGCTAGAGCCCACTATAACTGCATAGCCAAAAAGGCATTAAGAGTTGTTAACCTAATCCTACGTAGCTTTTTCTCTGGTAATATCACACTACTAACTAGAGCATACAAAACATTTGCTAGACAAATACTTGAATCAGTCTGGAACACGCATTACATATCTGATATTAACACAGTTGAGAAAGTCCAGAAATATTTCACAAGAAATATTTCACAAGACTCCTCTACTCGTTGCAGAATACCTTGTGCCACCAGACTCAAAATTCTAGACCTAGAAAACCTAGAACTACGTCGCCTTCGGTCCGATCTAAATATAGCATATAAAATTATACATTGCAATGTCCTACCTGTCAATGAATACTTCAGCTTCAACCATAACAACACTAGAGCACACAATAGATACAAACTCAAGGTAAACCACACCAAACTTGATTGCAGGAAATACAACTTCAGCAACAGAGGGGTCAATGTCTGGAATATTCTACCTGACTCTATGGTTTCTTCCCCAAACCCCAAAAACTTTAACCTTAGACTGTCTACTATTGACCTCACCCCTTTCCTAAGAGGTCTGTAGGGGGCGTGCATAAGCACACCAACGTGCCTACCATCCCTGTCCTATCATTTCTTTTTTTATTTTCCTTATATGTATCCCTTTCATGTATTCATAACTATGTTTATATTTATACCTATTATCTTATAATCACTTGATAAAATAAATAAATAAATGTTCCACGTGGATTATTGAAGGGATTAATGGAAAGGCTAAAGGGCAAAATAACAGCATGCAAAACAGACATATTCCATCCTGACATCTCCCTAGAAACACTGAGCTGCTCTGCTTCAATTGATCTCTTTGTCTCAAGAAATAGAAGAGAAGCCACTTCATTTCATTACAACACCTCAAATGTGTATGTATACAAAGCTTCACTGAGCCAAACAATCCACATTAATCCAAATCAGATGTATTAAGGTTTGAATGGGTTTACTACATTTATTTTACACATTTTGGACATAAAACAATGGAAAGTTGTACACCTAAGAGTCAGTTTTGCTACCATTTTTTTTACATTCCCATTTAGGAATTACAGTATTGCAAACAGCTCACAATTTATAACTTTGCTTTATGTTCTTATAAAAAAACCTTATTGTTATTGTATATGGATACCTGAACAAGATGAACACATATGTTCACTGTAGAATTTCACTAAACCTAACATCTATTTTTGAACAAATAGTCCTCAACTTACAACTGGTTGTTTAACAACCATTCAAAGTTATGACAGATTTTTTTAAAAATCAACTTACAATTCATCCTTGAAGTTACAGCTGCCATTGCACTGCCAGTCATGTGATTGCATTTTGAGCAGTTGACAACCTGTTCACATCTATAAATAGTTGCCAAGTGACCCTCCATAATGTGATCAACATTTAAAATCTTCTCTGCTTGCTTCTCCAGAAAGTCAATGAAGAAACTGGCAGGAAGGATTGCAAGGTCCTGCTGCCAGCCAAAGGATTTATCCTTCCTTCCATGCATGGGATAGGTAACACTACTACAGCAAGCTGGAGAAACAAAGCTTGGATGACAAAGATCTAAGCTTCTTTTCTCCAGCCCATTGCTGGAGTTCCCTTTTGTGCAAGGAGGGAAAGATAGCTCATCCATTTATTGACCTGCATGGTTGCTTAACAATTGCATCTGGAAGAGTTGGGAAAACAAGTTTCAATATTTCCCTTACAACAAGGAAGTAAAATTATAATAATGCCAATTTTGACTAATTTAAAAGTGTTGGCCTGAGTTAAATTTATTTTAGCACAATATATAAAGAAAAGAGAAGCTAATCAATTTAGCTCTTTATTCAACTTTTCAATCAACCTTCATTCAAATAACCATAGTTCTCATCAACTTTCATTCTGAATGGCCATCTACTCATTACTACTGCATCAAGGAATATAATCTATCTCTTCTATATCATAAAGAGTGTGCTATTTTAATTATTTTTCAGTAGGAACAATCAGGAATGTTATATATCTGATCTGTCTTCATCAGTGTAATCTTAACAGAAAAAATGTTAATTAGATTAACTATTATAGACTATGTTGTACTGGTGTGATTGACACATATGAAGCATAAAAGAAAACTGAGGAAAACAAAACTAATTGCATCCATGTAACAGTGATGAAATTAATGCAAACTATACATACATTCTGAATGTTAGGATCCAAACAGAATTTGGGCACAATAAACTGAGTTAAATTGGAAAAAGTCAGGCTATATGCCAGATCAATTACGTTCTGTTCATATATCAATGATGGCTTGTCTAATTTGATCCTGCAGTGTAATTTATCCAAGGACAGGATTGATCTTATGATTCCTCCAATGCAATGATAAATTACATTCTCCCAAGCACTATGAAAGCAGGGACACTATATGGAGGGAACGTAGGAATTGATTGAATGATGTTTCAAATGATACAGTAATTATGCTCCACTTGTTATTCTAGATTAAATTTCTGCGTTTATATCTTCCTGTACTATCACTAAGATGATAGGACAACAGGCACATGCTTAAGAGTCATAATTAGGACTCTAATACCTTCCTGCTTATCCTACTGAAAAAGCAATGTGATCAACTGTGGATATTTCTGGGTAGTTGTACTGGAACTAAAGAATGTACAAATGGGAAAAAGAAAACTGAGAAGAACAATGAGAACAAAACTTAATTCAAATAGTTTCTCAAACAGCAGGCATATCATTTTATGCTTACCAGATCATGTGCTAAATGAATGTTATCAAAGATAATTATAATAATTAAATAAATAATGCAAGTTGTAAAGCAAAATACCAATAAATATTTCTAGAATATCTGAAATACATATTTATCAGTTCTATATCTGTTGAAATGTAAAGATCATTTGGCCAAGTGCTCTGATTACTAAAATAAAAAAGTAAACAAAAGAGACCATTCACCTGGCCTGGATAAAGAAGGAAATTTATTGTAGCGGTACAGAATACCCTGACATTAGAAGGGGCAGCAAAGAAGTAGCATTTTGTGAGTGATTACACAGTCATTTTGTAAACAGGCAACTGGTGACAAGTATTTTATGAACATTTATTCTCAAAATTCCAAATGTACTCTCCAGTCTGCTTGATTTAAATCTTAATTACCTGCTTCAGATTCAGGAGGGGAATAAAACTGGCCCTCGGAAAGGAGCCCAGGTTGAATAAGGGCAGCTCGTTCAGAGGCATCCTGTACTAGGAATAGTCCTAAAGGCAAATAATCAGAGTAGTATTTCTTTATTACTGTATCTTACAAAACAAATATAATTAGTCATACTTTTAATATGGTACCCTGATTTAATCCACTTCAATGTTACATTCAAATTACAATTGCATCTCATGAATACTAATGCTGTGTATTTTAAGACTTCTGTCTGCATACAATACTGGGGGAAAATTGGGGAAGAAGCCTTACTAGTTTCTTCTTCTGCTTCTTGTGGTAACACTTTGAAATCCAAAAACCATGTTTCTATCCAGGCAAGGAGAAAAGATATGATAGGTAACACATAGCCAAAAGCACCCTGAGATAACAGCTTAAAGAGGAACAAGGAGGAAAGGAAAAAAGAAAAAAAAAGTTATATAAAAAACAGTAAAACAGTTATGTGAATTAAATAATATAAACAGATATACACTAGTATAATTCATACCTTTGAAATAATTACTTTTATTAATAGGAAGGCACTGGTTACAGCAGTTGTAAACTGAAAGAAATATGAATATATGCACACATATATAAAGATTTTTCTCACTGAAATACATAGCTATGAACAGGCAATCATTGAAGTATAGTAGTTCTCATAAAGCTTTGGCAACAATTAACAATCTTAAAATTTCTAAAACTATGGACTTATGCAAACAGCCAAATATTATCAAAAAATACCCCCTATTTTTCTGCTTTTAAACATGAATCAACAATGTACCCAGAAAATTTTCCTCCCCATTTTAACATGCTTGTTCACTACATCGGTTTTGAGTATACATTAAGATACAACTCCCAGAACTATTGTTGTAAGGAAAATAGGAAACAGAAGCATTATACACACCATCCTCAGTTGTACAAAATAAAGTTGGGAAATAAATCTAAGAAGGACTGGGAAGAAGAACAGCATTTGTGAAAGGAAAAAAAAATCCAATTACTTCACTCCTAAACCCCTAAATGAACAAAGTTCTATATTTGTTGAAATGTAAAGATCATTTGGTAAAGTGTTCTTATTACTAAAATAAATAAGTAAAGAGACAGATTATCCTATCTATCATTATTTATCTTAAAAATGCTTGAAGATTTGTAAAATAATCAAAATTCAATTAAAATACATAATGTAATATTTGAATATACTTTACCCATCAAACTTTCTGTGAATTATTTTTAAATAAACAAACAAAAAGCTCTAGGTGCTTTGTTAAAAGTTGATTTCCTTAAATAATGTACATTTTTGTAGAAACTTTTTGACAGATAATTTTATTTGGGATATGGTTTAAGATAAAGATAATAAGATTTTAAATTATACATTTCACTGCTCCGCCAAAGTTTTGATTGTGGCTATTCAGGTTATTTGAGAAAAAAACTTGAAGCATTTTATTTGTAAATAAAGGTTTTATCACACATAATCAAGGGTGGGATTCTACCAGTTCAGACAAGTTCAGGTGAACCAGTAATTCCAGTGAGCATTTGGGGGGGGGCTCTGTCCTGTGCTTTATTTCATTGTTTTAAAGCACAGTTGATTTGCATGGCACAGCGGTTTGCAGCTCCTCAGCTATTTATTCATAGGGGCTGCAGTCGAAGGTAAGTATTAGAGCTGAAAATGGACTTTTTAAAATGCAAAGCATGCAGTCACTGAACTGGTTGTTACACCAGTCGAATCACACCACTGCACATAATGATTATAACTACCCAACAGGAAAACTTTAGCTTTATCTATTATAAACCTAAGGATAATACCATTTCATATCCATTACATAACAATGTAGTTTTTTTTTCCAAAATTCATTTGATCAATCTGCAACTTACTGCTATTGCCCACCAGTGCCGTAGTCTGCACAGCGCATATGCAAGTATCAAAATCTTAAACCGAAAAACTGCCAGGAGCTATGGAATAAAACAGGGAAAGAAAAGACATGGCAATATTTTCTTTGAAAAGCAATAAAAATGAAATAGCAATTCATCCAGCTAAGATTACATAAAAGCAACTTCTTAATATTTTATGGCCCCATTCTCCTTTTTTCCAAGACACAGTTTTGGCCAAGATACTACACTTGCTGTTTCTTTGCTACAATGTAAAGCAACTACTTGCTCTGAAAAGGTTTCACCTGTAAAACATAATTATTTCAATGTCTTCACAATCTAACTTGTCTGAAAATATTCCTCCAAGATCTTTTGATATAGGCATATCCAATTTTGTATTCAATAAATGGTCAAAGATTAAATTTGAATTAATACTGACAGCATAACTTCTTCAAATCTGGGAGAAAAGTATAATAAAAATTCTGGTATCTTTAAAATTATTTGTTCACATAGATAAACTTTTTTTTAGCTGCCTAAAGTAGTCCCATGGCAAGAGAGGCAAAAATAAATTTAACAAACAATTTTAATTATCCAACTAATAAGTATTTTGCATATTTTAATAATTAATAAATTTACTTCACTAGTACCATGGATTGTTTATTTAATTAGTCTGTTGTCCATTATTTCCTTGATACATTTAGCATTGTTAATGTTAGACCCAATGCTTATATTTTTGTCAGTTGTCAAGTTTCTTAGCTCTCTGCCCTCAAATCATGCACCACTGGTTCAGGTTGAGTTTTTTTTTTAACTAAAACTTCTGATCCATCGATCAAATGCTGGCACAAGAGATATGTTTAAAATGATGGTTTCTATATTGTGTTGGTATAAGAAGGACCAAACAGAATTCAAATTTCCTTTATTTAAATTTAAATCTGCTCGATTACTTCAAGTCCACTCTTAATTCAGTCTTGAAGTTTATTTCACTTCAGCAACGTAATTTTAGGAAAAAGTCATTTTGACCTTATTAATTTATGATACAGTTGTAGGCTAGATTGGAAGAAGGTAATGCCAAACTACTTTTGCACTTTCCAAAAAAAATGATATGGATATTTCCATGAAGTTTTCAGAAGCCAAGTTTGAGTCAAACAATAAATTTGTTTCACTTATTAACTAGCTTTTAGAAATTCTTGTTAAAATATTATAAATCTTCTAGAACTGAAAACCCATGGGAGATGCAAGGAGATTTACATCTCATCTCTCCCGCACTTCTTCCCGCTTTTATTTCTAATTGTTGCAATAGTGGAAATCTGGGTGGGAGGGTGCTTCATAGAATGTTTTTAAGTTTGGAATCAGTGGAAAATAGGCATTGGTATATTTATCTGAGAATACCCTTTCTATACATGTTGCTAGAGAGTCCAGGAATGGGTTAGATTCCTCCCTCTGATGTCATTGAGCTGAGTCTGCCACAGTATAAAAAGTCAGCCTCTGCTGTTAGCCCCAGCTTTTCTGGCGAAGAAACTTGACAGATGTAGTGTGTCTCTGGAAGATAAAACAGTGAGAAGAACCCTCCCCAACCAAGACCAGACTAACACAGGGTGGGGTTGGATTCTCTAGCAGCGTGGATAGAAAGGGCGTTCTCGGGTAAATACCAACACCCATTCTCCTCCATGCTGCAACAAGAGTCCAGGAATGGGACATACCAAAGCCTGCATGTCCAAGGGAGAGTCATCATCTGGTCCGTTTAGTCCAACACTGGAAGAACCTTCTGGAGCATCTGCCTCCCAAATGCTGCTTCTGCAGAGGCGAAGAAGTCCAGCCGATAGTGCCGGATAAATGGAGAAGGTGACTCTCAGGTAGCCGCCCTGCAAATCTCAAGACGCCTGGATAGCCCAAGCTGCTGAAGTTGCTGCACTCCTAGTAGAGTGCGCTGTGAGCTTCTTGGGAACCGGAAGAGATAAGGTCTTGTAGGCAATGGAAATACATGCCCTGATCCATCTGCCAACATCATGGATGAAGAAGCCTTACTCCCCAAGGAAGGCGGTTGGAAGGACATGAACATCGCTTCTGTTTTTCGAAAAGTGGTGGTACATTTAACATAAATATGGAGAGCTATCTGCACATCCAGGGTATGCCACTTGTGTTCCAACTCCTGTTGAGGCTTAGGGCAGAAATCCAGTAGGACTATGTCTTATGCCCTGTGGAACCAAGAATTAAAAAAGGGTCTAATTGTATCACTACTCTGTTCTCGTGAAAGATGCACAAATCTTGCCTCACCGAGAGAGCCATCAACTCAGACACCCTCCTGGCCAACATGATAGCGACCAGGAAGGCCACCTTGAGTGTCAAAAGACGAAGGTCCATCAACCGTAAAGGTTCAAATAAGGGTTCCGTTGGGGCCTGTAGTACCTTAGGGAGATCCCAAGTGGGATACCTATGAACTACTGGGGGATGTAGATTTGAGGCTCCCCTTAAAAATCTACGCACTGATGGATGGTGGAATAGAGAAGAATAATTATCCCATGACAATACTGCCAGCGCAGAGTGTTTGGTGAGAGTCCTTTATCTGGACCTTCCTGTAGGAACATCAGCACCTCTGGGACTGAAGCAGATGTAGGGTTCCGGGCCACTTTGAAACACCAACTACAAAAAGTCCTCCAAGTGGCATCATAGATGTGTTTGGTTGATGGTTTACATGATGCATCATCTGATGGTTTGAATCACCCTATCAGATAAATTAGACTCTTTCAGAGATTTCCACTCAAGCACCATATGGCCAATTGAAACCACTGAGGTTGTGGGTGGAGTAGGGCCCCCTGGCTGAGTGAAATCCTGTTGGCTGGGATTCTCCACGTCAGTGAACCAGGGCCTCCTGGGCCAATGGGGTGCCAGAAGTAGTAGCTCTGCTTTCACCTCCAACATCTTCTGAATTATGGCCGGAATGATAGGAAGAAGGGGGAAGGCATAGAGGAGACCTGCAGGCCATCTGCTCTGAAGTGCACTGGTCCCCTCTACACCCTGGATAAGAAACCTGGTGAAGAACCTGCCCATCTGTGCATTCTGGGGGGTGGCAAATAGGTCTACCACTGGGGATCCGAATTTGTCGAACAGGGATGGGTGAAGACTCCACTCCAAGTTGTCAACCTCGGTCCAACTCAGCCAGTCGGCTTGGGTGTTGTCGACCCCCGAAATATGGTCTGCCCTGAGGGACAGAGGTGTTTCTCTGCCCACCTCCCCAGACATTCGGCTTCCAGCATCAAGGATTTGGACTGGGTCCCCGCCACCTGTTGACATGGACCTTGGCGGCCATGTTGTCTGTCATGACCTTGTCCTGGAAGTGTGTCAAAGCAAAGAAAATAGCCTTGAGTTCTAGCAAATGGATGGGGTGGGACCTGTCTACCTGGGACCAGTGACCCTGAGCTAACTCTCTTTGCAGATGAGCCCCCCCCCGGCCATAAAGGCTGGCATCTGTTGTGACCATGATCCTGTCTGGTTCCTTGAACAGATGGCCCTTCCTGATGGCTGGAGACTGCCACTGCTGGAAGGAATGAAGAACCTGTGGAGGAATTAGGACCCTGATGGCTGAGCGGCGGGTTCCCGCCTGTTGGAATGGCAGCAGGAACTATTGTAGGGCTTGGGCATGGAGACGAGCCCATGGCACTATGTCAATGCAGGAAATCGTCTTCCCAAGTAGCTGTGACAGGAGAGACAGAAGAATGCTGTGCTGCTGTTGAACCCGGTTTATCAACTCATTTAGACTCTCTTGCTTATTCAGGGAAAGAAAGACCTCGCAGAGGGTCGTGTCAATGATTATCCCCAGGTGTACAAGACGGGTGGTTGGCAGAAGATGACTTTTGTTGAAATTTATGGAGAACTCATGTGCCTGCAAGAGCCACATTGTGGTCTGAAGATCGTGATTGGCTGAATGGACGGAAGTTGACTGGATCAGGATATCGTCCAGGTAGCATTGGACCCTCACAGGTAGAGCTCAAAGGGACACTGCCAATGCTACCAAGACCTTGATGAAGACTCTGGGGGCCAATGAGAGGCCAAATGGAAGGGCAAAATGGATAGGTGTCTGTTGTTGTAACAGAAGTGCAGGAACTGGTGGTGAAAGGGCCAGATCGGAATATGGAAGTATGCCTCTGTGAGGTTTATTGATGAGAGATTGCCCTCCCGAACACTGCATATAGAGAGAAGGGACTGCATCTTGACGCACCTGTAGGGGATGAACTTGTTCAAAGACTTGAAGTCGAGAATTGCTCTCCACCCCTCTGCCGAGGCCTTTGGGATCACAAAGAGCAGGGAGTAGAACCCTAGCCTCTGTTGATCCACGGGAACCAGCTGAATGGCTCTGATGTTGACCAGGTGTTGGATGGCCAATTCCATAAGGGCCCATCTGGATCTATCCCGGGATATTGGAGAGCAAACAAAAATCTCAGAGGAGAGGAAAGAAACTCAAGTTGGAGACCTGATCTCACAGTCCTGAGAACCCAGGCGTCCGATGTTGATTCCTCCCATCTTGAGGCGAAGAAGGCCAGATGACCTCTGATGGAAGGGGAGGGAATGCAGTCATTTAGAGCATCAGAACGAACAACCTCCTCCTCCTTGAAAGGGCTGTTTTCCGGAGAACTGCTGCTGTCTGCTGGCTCGATCAGGTTGCTGTTCCTGACGAGGAGGGAATGATCTTTGGCCCCAAGGAAACCAAGAGCTGGGTTTGGGCCAAAAGGAGGATGGTCTGGAATATGACGTCTGACGGAATTCTGACCACTTGCTTGCTGATGATAGGATCTTCCTTATATCCTTGGTCTCCACCAGGTAAGGTTCCAGGGCCTCCCCAAACAGATTCTCACCCGAGCATGGAGAGATGCTAGCTTCCACTTGTGATGGGAGTCTGTTTGCCAACTGCACAGCCACAAGAGGCATCTAGCTGCTGAGGACGCTATTGCCTTTGAGGCAAATCTAGCAGAGTTTAATGTGGTGTCAGCTATAAACTCTGCTGCAGCGATGATCTTGTTCAAGTCTTGGTGAGATCTGGAATTGCTGATCGACAAACAATCCTGCAGCTGGTGGAGCCAATGCAGCGATGACCTCATAAAGAGGCTGCGGTGGAGGCCCGCACCACCCAAGCTGCGGCCTGATGTGTACATTTGAGGGTCTGTTCAGACCTCTTGTCATCAAGTTTAAGGATATCCTCCAGTTTTGTTGGAGTTCCGGAGGTGGAAAAGGTGGCAACAATAGGGGCATTTACAGGCGGCACTATTAAGGCATTAGCCAAGGAAGGGCCCACATTATAAAACCTCTTATCCTGAGATGAGAGACGAGGTCCTGATACTGGAGAGGGGCATTGATCTCTAACCAGATCTAGAAACAACAAATGTGATGGAAGCACCTCAGTTTGGACAATTGGTTTGGAAACTAAAGCCACCCTGGACTGTGGATTCTACTTGAGGCTCTGATGCCACCTCATCGGGGCCTAGTTGGGCTGTGCCTAAGGCTTTATGAAGAAGAGATTTGAATAAGGATGGCCTGAAGATGGCTGCCGAGATGGACTGCTCAGGTCTGGATCTTTCATCATCCGACAGATTGGATTCCCTAAGTTCACCTTCCTCCCCTTCTCAAATGGAAGATTGACTATAGTCAGAAAGATGCATAGAGCCCCTGTCCTCATATTCTCCCCATTCAGGATGAGTGGCAGGAAAGCTGTGCTCATGGGACCTGGAGAACCGACCTGGACAGGAGAGATAATCTGACAGAAGGCCGAGAGTAAACCTTGGTCACCCCTCCCCAGGGCAAAGGAGTTGTTGAAATCCCTCAGTGATTCCCTGCCTAATGGCCATAGAGACCATATCCTTAAGCTCCTCAGGCCTGTTGCCTAAAGGAGGATCCACTGGGTGAAAGCCAGCAGCAGTGGGAGTAAAAGTGGCCTCTGCCCTGGGCCTATGTCCTCTCTGGGGTAAAAGGTCTTGAGGATTTGAAGTACCAGGAATCTAGTCTGCTTGTTTGAAACTAGGCCCAGACCTAATCAGGTCCTGAGAGAAGGAGGCCTCATCCACTCTCTCAGGGGACCATGCCTGCAGATGACTAGTGGAATTACTTTCTACTCCTCCATCCAGGGGTGGGATTCACATTTTTAACAACTGGTTCTGTGGGTGTGGCTTAGGTGGTGGGGGTGGCTTGGTGGTCATGTGCCTGGGTGGATATGGCTTGGTAGTAATGTTATTGGCTGGGTGTGGCCAACTCAATATCACTCGCATCGAGGCACGCATCTCCTCACCTGGCCTTTCATGATTGTGGGGATGCTGCAACAGTCATAAGTGTGAAAAATGGTCATAAGTCACTTTTTTCAGTGCCATTGTAACTTTGAATGGTCACTCTACACAAGCAAAGTACCAGCAAAGGAGGGGGAGGGGGAAAAATCCAGAGATGTTCCTGAGACAGGAAATCTAGTCCTGCCAAGAATGTGATAAGGATTAACGGAGAGGCAGTTTCCGTAAGCAACACAAGAATGTTTCCTTCCTGCCTTCCTTACAGGATTAGGCCAGTAATTTCTTCTAACAACCAGTTCTCCGAACTGCTTAGAATGTTAACAACCTGTTCTAGCGAATAGGTGCGAACTGGTAGAATCCCACCCGTCTCCAGCCCTAGAAACGGGCTCTGAGCCGGCCTGCAACTGTCCTGATTGAATTAGGCTCTACCCTCTCAACTGTTCCAAATTCTTGGCAAATTGCTTCTCCAATGCAACATGCCTCCTTTTTTCAGCTCTCAATTCAGATTTTGAGGCCTTCTTAGGAGCCAATGCCTTGGTTCTGATTTTTGCTGCAGCCTCCCTGTTAGCTGACCTCGTCAATGGCCTCTTTGAAATTTCACAGCTATGGGCTTCTTCTAGGCTCGATGGTTCCGCTTGGGTCTAACTGCTCTCCATTTTGCTAGGCAGGTACTGTCAACTCCTCCCAAATCATGTCACCCTAAATGTAGGCCAGGTGAACGGGATCCCTGCTATGAGCCCCCCCCCAAAATGATGCTGGGTAATGGCCCAATCCCAAAATGGCTGATTGCCACGTGCTCGGAGGCCAATAGAAAACCCTTCTCAAAGGCCAGTCTATGGACCTGGCAACTCACTCAGGGCTTGGCCTTTGTCTTCTAAAGCACTGCAAGGCCTGATTTGAGGGCCCTGAAAAGCCGCTGTGGGGTGCTGAATGAAAATCGGGCTGCACATCAGCGAATAACCGCATGGGAGGCTCAGCCAAACTCTCCTGGCCTGCGGTCTCCAAAATCACTATCGGGGAAGTGCGACAGGCAAGGGCTGCATGGGAGGCTCAGCTGAGCTCTCCCCGCCTGAGCTTACAGTATTTGACGTCGGAGGCTTTGCAATCCCCGCTCTCCTTGAAGGCACAGTTGTACTGGAACTGCGCTGGTTATTCTGCTTTCTTCTTTGCTTTCTCCTTTGTTTTGGAATTAATTAGCTTCTGTAACTAGCTATGACTCCAGAGACACTAGCTCTGACTTCAAGGAGCTGAGTCAAAAAACTGGGGCCAACAGCAGAGGCTGGCTTTTTATACTGTGGCAGACTCAGCTTGATGACATCAGAGGGAAGAGTCTAACCCATTTCTGGACTCTCATCACAGCATGGAGGAGAACTTGTCAGATACCAGGTTTTGCTCACTTAAAACAAAATCTTAATGGTAAATTCCTAACAAAATGTAATATAAGAGTCCTTGATATGAATTTCTGTATCTATAGTGCTGAAAATCAGGTTTTTTTAAAAAATATGTCTATTTGCTCTTTTAAGATTTGTTCTTTTTAAGTTATTGTAGATTAAGCAAAGGAATTAATTTTTAACTATTAATAGTTAAAATACAAAATACTTACAAAGATATCAAAATATGAATAACGGTAGTCATAATGCAGAACTTCTTTTTCTAGTGTTTTTTCAATGCCACCATTTACCTAAAGGAAATATTTATACTAGTCAGTAATATCTTATCTGTTCAGCCATATATTAGCAATATGCTCCATTCTACAATGGTAAGTTAAATTTAAGATAGTGGTTACATCATTCTAAGAATATAGCAAAGTAATTAATATTTAATACTATACAGAATTTATAGAGGTCTTGGGATTTCTTTTGAGTGAAGTCTGAAGATCTGCTGTTCTGACTTTGACTTTGTTTTTATGGTATGCTCCTGAAGTGATTCTGACAGGATGGTGTCCTTAAGATGTCTTCTCCATTTCAAGATTATGTTTCTAACTGAGGATCAATGGAGTGCTATTTAAAAAATAGTGCTTGATTTTTCTCGAACAAATGACTTTGTTGTGGAGATCTTCAGTTTTCAGTGAGTCATCTGCATCTCTGGAACTTACATATTGCAAGCTTCATTATGATGAGGTGAGTCAAAGTTTGTAAGATTTAAAGAGTGTAAGTTAATGCCAATGAGCCCTAATTATTTAATGAACTATTCTCACAACTGACCTTTATTAATTAAATGATTGAAGTAGGAAAGTGATTACCTTTTCATGCAAGAACATTGCATGTTGGAAGATTTTATGAACAAATGAAATAAACACAAAATGGTATTATCTATTTCCTTATGATTTTTATGTATCAAGAGAACCTCCATGAACCTCTGATAACATTTAACAGAAAATGTATTTTTCTTCTTCCATATCTAGATCAAACTTTAAACTGCCAGAATGAAGCCACTCTGTTGGCTTTTTCGTTGGCCAAAAATAAGTCATTATCGATACATGTTTTTGATAGTAGCTGATATACCTGCAGATGGACCAGGCTCTATATCTCCCCACATTCACAAAGTGTATTGTTATTCACTAAGAGCCTCCAAGTAGTATAAGGAAGGTCAGATCTTTCAGCCATATCCTACTTTAATGTTATTCCTTGCTCAACAGTCTCCTTCCTTCATCTTTTGATTTGATTTTATTCTTGTTGTATCCTCAATGTTTGCCATAAAGCTGTTCCTAGATCTGAGTTGGCGGGTTTGTGGTATATGTCCGTTTAGAGAATGTTGAACATTATTCCTTGCTTAGTTCTTTCGGCATCTGCTGTTACTTCTCTTAGGTGGGGCAAGACCAGTGAGAGGATATATTTTGTCAATTGGTATAGGTTTGAGACAACCTGTCACTAAGCATACTGGTTCACTGATGATGATATGAACATATTTTGCATATGCAGATGCGCACCACACTGGAGCAGCACACTGGAGCAGCACACTGTGCTGCAGAGATGCTCAAGGCCAAATCCAATGTATGCAATGTAGATGGATGAGCTCCCCATGTGTAGTTTAGCAATTTCTTAATATTGTTCCTCAAAGTGACCTTAACCTTAATGTTCAAGCAAAGCTGTTTAAAAGAGAACATCATGTCATGCCAATATACTTCAGTATTGGACAGTGCTGTAGTTGGTTCCCTTGCTATGTAACATCCAACTCTTCTCTTGCGTCTCAATTTCAGAGATGGAAAACACACACTTGGATATTTTTTGAGTTGGGCTTTAAATGGTTTGTACTGTAACAGAAAATAAATGCAAATATTCAATTATCAAAATTGTAAATGATATAGTAAAAACCCAAATGAAACTTCTCCACTCAATCTCTATAAATTCAGGTATCTACTAGGAAGCCAAAAAAAGTACAATCTTCAGAAAAATTGAAGTATTACAAATGGAAAAAAAAATATTACTTAGGGAGCAGAAAATAAGGAAAAAAGAAATATATGCAACATTTTAACACACCACAGATATGATAGTTCACTACTTTATAAAATGTAATATATACAATTTGTTGATTTTTAAAGCGTAGGTAACCAGCATCTTGAATTGCATTTGAAAGCCTTGGTGTTGCATGGACATAGCAGAGAGGAGTCTATCCAGACTTAAAGATGGAACGGCCACTAAAACCTGTTAACCACTTCATCTTGCTACAGTTAGTTTGTTTGTTTTTTCATCTAGACCAGCGATTGCCAACCAGTGGGCCGCAAGAAAATTTTGGTGGGCCACAGAGATATTTCACCCACAGAGCACCCACCCCCCGAAAGCAATTAATCCAGGCTGCGCAGAAACACAAGACTACCATGGCTTTCCTCTGCTTTGGCCATCTGGGAAATGTCTGGAGAAAGGCCAGATTACTCAGTGATATAAGAATAACCACCTGTGCATTAGATCCATGCTCTGGTTGGTTTAGGCCTCCTGGGAAATAATATGTGGTTGGTGAGGGATGTTGCATCCTTGAGAGAGAAGGTAGTCTATTCCTTCCTCAAGAAACTATCCCTGGATCCAATAGTACTGGATACAAATTTTCTCTTTTTATATAAGATTTTTGAGAAGGCAGTCAGGTTATAGTTTCAACTGACCCTGGAAGATATAGGTCAGTGATGGCTAACCTTTTCCATGTTGTGTGTGGAAAGTGTGTGTGTGCTCATGTGCATGTGCACTCGCGTGCCTGCACCCATAATGCAATATGTGCATGACCCCCTGCATGTGCACTGCATGCCTCTGCGCATGTGCACATGACCCGCTGCACTGTCCACCTCTGCGCATGCATCCCACCCCATGCATGCTCGTGTGTCTTCTATGTGTGCATCTCCCCCACACATGCACAGTAGATACCTGACAACTAGCTGGCTGGCAAGGGGCGTGCATGTGCAGTGGGGCTTTTCCAGGCGACCTCTCACGTGCCGGCAGAAATGGCTCTGCATGCCACTTCGAGCACACATGCCATAGGTTCGCCATCACGGATATAGGTTAACTAGTCCCAAGTTTCAGATTAGGATACAGTACTGCGATAGCATTAATTGTTGATAATCTCTGACAGGACCACCATGGAGATAGTAGATACTGGCTCTCTTTGTTTTATCAGTGATCTTCAATATGATCAATGATGATATCCTTCTGGATCAGCTTCAGGAGTTAAGGCCAATTTCAGGGCTTTCTCATTACACAGCTAGTTCTAACTAGCATTGTGGTGAAAGATGAGGGCTTACTATAGAGGCTTTTTGTATACTTCAGGGCTTTCTAATCTTTTCATTTCTATTTAACATGTTCATGAATCCACTAAATATGTTTACAATGGATAAGTTCCATCACATTGTTAATGATGTCCAGCTACACATCTCTATCTCTATCTCTACCTGCCAACCAAGTGATACTTCAAACTTGTTTGAAAGCCATGGTAGTCTTGTGTTTCTGCGCAGCCTGGATCAATTGCTTTGGTGGGGGGGTGCTCTGTGGGTGAGATATCTCTGTGGCCCACCAAAATTTTCTCGCAGCCCACTGGTTGGCAATCACTGGTCTAGATGAAAAAACAAACAAACTGTAGCAAGATGAAGTGGTTAACAGGTTTTAGTGGCCGTTCCATCTTTAAGTCTGGATAGACTCCTCTCTGCTATGTCCATGCAACACCAAGGCTTTCAAATGCAATTCAAGATGCTGGTTACCATAAAGCGCTTTATAGCCTAGATTGACTTATCCCTGCTTATTCCAGAAGATCCAACAAGGAGGGAATATTCTGGATCCTCTATATGAAACAACAGTATTTATGAGACCCAGGAAGTATATCTTTCTGCTTTGGTGCCTGACTTTTAAACTAGTATGCACCCTGAAATTCAAGTTACTATTTGTAAGGCCTTGAAAAACTTGGCTCTTTCCCTAAGCATTGGGCCAGAGTGTTAAGCCTGTTTTGTGATGGGTTATAGAAATGATTTTGGCTGCCCTGAATGTATTTTTCTATTGTTGATTTTATTTTTGTTGGATATTTTTTTAAATTTGTCTTAACCTAATGGGTCATTTCCATGTCAAGTGGTCTGATTTCAGAAAAATGCCCTGCTTGACCATCATGGATTTCAATGAAGTTTGTGTGAACATCCCCAATGAACATTGGTAAGTTGTTACATTTGCTTGTGGAGATTTGTTTTGGAGTTGTTACATATACTTGCAGAGATAGTCATTTGTTTGACACCCATACCACAGCCTTCTACAGTATGACTCTGAGGTTTCAGCAACTTCGAGACATAATATCTCCAGCAATATTTTGTTGAGAAAAACAAAACTTGGCCATCTTGTACAACCTTTTGTGCTTTATTAAACAAAATAATAAAAACATTCTCATGAGCAATTTCCATCTAGATAATTTGGAGCAAAGTTGGCCAAAAATATTGCAGCTTGAAAAAAGGTTAAAGTTTGGCTTTTTATATCTCTGGAAGGAAATAAATGTGAAACTTTGAACCTAATGATTTAGCAACAGAAGTTTTTCGAATATAAAATTTTATTCTCCTACTGCTTTCCAATGGTTTACAAATTGAGTGTAAAGTTGGTGGTTTTTGTAAAAACACCAAAAACAGGTGTGCGTTTTGTTTTGTTTTACAAAAAATACCTTCTGGAAACCCTGTTAAACCATTCTCATTAGAGTGTGCATGTTTCAACCCCCCTTAAAAAGTAGGATTGGTTTTTCATCGCTGATGTATAAAACCCTAAAAATAGGAACAAAGTTGAGCGTGTTGCTATGGCAACATCATGTACATCAACGTGCATTTTTAAATATTGTGCCATTATAATTTCATTTATGCTGGAGTTTAAAGTGTGTAATTCATTTCTTGCATGCTAAATGAATCTGTTACTCTACTAGCTGTGCTTCTACATTAATGACAGCAGTTAAATGTGCTGAAAATACTTGAGTGACACCACAAGTTAGCATGTTGCAGCTATAGGATTCTGAATTGTACAGGTTTAATTGACATATTTCTGTCATAACATTAGAATCTTATATAACTTTTGTGTTTCAGATGTTGCAGTAATACACTTTATATTATTGCAATTTCCATAATATGCTAAATGGATGTCGACGAGTCAATGGGCAATCCTACTTTGCCCAAATGCATTGTTGGAGAAAAATTGTTGTCAACTTGCCACCATGGATCATTTTATTCTAATGGAATTGGGC